TCACATAATCGTCTTCACTGTCTAGGTCCCACCAAGCTTCTCCGGCCCCGAGGTTATTTCTATTAGGGTTCGCGTAATATTCTTCGTAGTCAGACTCTTCGGAAGAGTCCTCAAAATTATCTCCTCTATCCTCAAACTCTGAAAGTCCATAAATTCGATCCTCTAATTCCTCTTCTTCAAATTCTTCTTCTTGCTCTTCATCTTCGGTTTCTTCTTCTTCACTAACTTCAATTTCTTTCTCGTTTATTTTTGTAGGTCTTTTGGCTTCGAGCGGTCCTGGGGTTACTTTTCGAAATTCTAAGGGCACGGTAATCTCCTTTCCTTCCCACGTTAGAGTCATTTCAGAGACATTCCAGTCTATTAGGGCGCTTACTTTAGACAACCAGTCATTCCCTACGAGGGCGTTATAGGAACTGGCGTCAGTTACTATGACGTCTACTGATATTTTCATTCCTCCTACGACGAAGGGAAATTCGGAGATTTCACCAATGGCTCTCTTACTTTCACCATGGACATTAATCATGTTAACCGTGGACGGGCGGTCTATCTTTATACCTAGGTCTTTTAAGAGATATGACGATACAACACTTCTGGATGATCCATTATCAACAATCAGTGGGATCACTTTTTCTTGGACTTTTGCATTGCAGTATAGGGCGGTAGACTTCTGGGTATTTTGTAAATTAACGTTGGCTTTGATCTTTCGTCTAACCATTATCTTTTTCTTTTGTAGAGATCGAATTAAATCAGACCTCATGGAGGGGGCGGCCTTAAACAATTGTCCAAAAGTGATATTAGCCGGTTTATCTCGAATCTCAGCCACAATTGAATACGGGGCGACCAGAGTGGATATCTGGGGAGTATCTTCTTCGAGTTTCTTTCTTCTTGGGGGAACGGGTTTCTTTGAGACTTTTTTTTCTTTTTCTTTGTTTTCTTTCCTTTCCTCTTTGTCTTCCTCGTTATTAATCGTTTCTAATTCTATTAGATCTAAGTTTTCTTCATCTACCTTTTTTTTCTTAGAGCGGGTTTCGATAGGATTTTCTTTCCTTATTTCAACTTCCGCAGGAGCGAAGATAGAAGCATCTTCAGCGTTTATTCCCAAATACGTCGGGTGTTCTTCTTGGTTTTCGGGTTGGGCTGTTTGTTGGATCAAGTTTAGTAATGCTAGCAATGTTTCTTGAGAGTTAACGCTGTTTGGTGTATTTGGCGGGGGATTTGTCGGGGGGTTATTTGTGGCTGGGGACTGGCGGGGGGCATTACAATAATGACTGATATGCCCAGTACGCCTACAGTTATAACACACTGGTGGGTTTGGGTTTCTTAGATTGTTTTGATAACTCCTTGAGGGGCGTCTTTGATCTTGTATTTGGGCCATTATTCTATCCATGGTCTCAGTAAGTCAATTTATTGCGGATTCAGTTCCATTTGGGAGGGTGGTTGGGACCTGAATGGAGATAGGTTGATGTTGGGCGGGCTGGAGCGGGTACCCTACGGTTTGACCTAAAAATGCGGCATAGGTGGGATTTTGCTTATAAGCGTTTTCGAACGCTTTTGCTCTATCATAAGCGGCTTGTAACGTATGTGGGGTAAAAGGGGAAACCGCCATATACAATTCCGATCTTAGCCCGTTAATAAACATTTGGGCTTTAGCCGAATCGGGGTATTGGTGACCTCCGGCCTCAACCCAGCGAATCATTTCTTCGATTGCCACATGATACGAATCGACGTTCTCTCCAGGGAGTTGCTTTCGTTGGGTTAACTGGGCGAACCATTTACCTTCTAACTCGGGGGTTCGGAATTTAGTGATAAAATTAGCCTTGAAACTTTGGGCGGCGTTAGCATTATCACTCCAACGATCAATTCGTGGTACTTGGTATTTAGCGGTTTCCCACCAAGTAGAGGCTGATCCTTTTAGTTTAGGGACTATTACGGGGATCTTCCTACCATCAGTAATACAGTTGGCTTCGAAAGCCTTTTCTACGTCCTCTAACCAAGAGATTGGGTCTTGGTCTCCTCCAATAAATTCAGGGTAAGGAACCAAGTTTAGTTCCCGGTGTGCGGCTGGTACGTTAATTTGTGGAGCCGGCGCTACTTGCATCTGTTGAACCAACTGCGCAATCTGATTTGCGAGGTTATTTAAAGGGTTATTATGGGGTGGGTTGGCCATTATATCTTTTCTTGTTATTTCTGAAGGTTAAAATTTTCTGAATTTATAACTTTAATGGGTGTTTGGTTTATGAAAATTCCACACAACTGGCACCAAATGTTACTATTGTAAATTGGGAGAGCGACTAATGATGTCCGGTTTAGCTCCAATAGTTAACGTGGTACGAGTTATAATGTCTAATTACTAATAAATGGATAAATGATATCAAATGGGTTCTATAATCTATTATATATATATCGGGTATAATATAAAGGTCGGATTGGTGATTTAAGGGATGATCGGAATAATTTGATAACTAATTTTAAGGGGAAATGTTATTCTTAATCGTATAACAATAAACTAATTACTTAAAAGTGATCTAAACGTTGATCACTGTACTAATAATAAACAATCGTAATGTCCTATACTAATCTAAATAACTGATTCTTTTAATAATCTTACAATATATCGTTACTCGTTATATCTAAATCGTACAATAATCTAAACAATAATATTACACGTGATGTTACTTTCTATAAACTCGTCAAGAATACGGCTCTTAGTTACTCAGTGAAAGGTCTATTCGGCCTCAATGCTTACTTCCTTTATGTTAATTAAGAGACCCAGCGTATTCTTTATTCAATAATTTAACAAACGTGGTGAGGAATCGATTATTAATTATAGCGGGATTAGGGAATTTGGCAATTAGGAAAGTTAAGGATATTTTATTTTAAGGTAAATAATGGTTTATTTATTTTAGTTAATCGATAACTGTCTTTTCGAAAGGCTAAAAGGACTACTATTTATACAATTTGTTTCGGGGAGGGGTAACTATACTATTTCTTTATGACTATAATCTTCATGAACAGTTGTTTAGTCTCTTATGAGCAGTTGCTTAGTCCTTCGTGAGCAGTTTCTTAGTCTGTGATCAATTATTCTAAGGTAACACGAAGCCACACTGCTCACACCACTATTCTATGGCTTACGCTATAGCCCCAACTGCTCATCTTAATGTTTATTTTTAGCCCCAACTGCTCATCGTTATGTTTATCCAGCCTCAACTGCTCAACATTTTGTTTATCTATATAGCTACCACGGTTCTTAAACGTAAACAAGGGCATGAGCAGGACGAATTATAAATAAATAACTATATACAAGTATAACTAAATAATAAAAGGTCTATAATAATATGATTTAATAAATAAAAACAAATAAATATGAAAATAAGAAAAGAAAACTCGTGACTTTGGGACGGGATATCAATTTACATTCCAACAGTACGTATATAATTGTTTTATTTGAAATCTAAAATTTTGATTACAAAAGTTTATAATATTAGTGGTTTTTAGTGCCATAATCACATTAATCACGAAGTCGCACCCTTTGCAAATTGCCATAATAATTTCATACTAGAGCTAAAATTGAGAGATTCGATCATCGATTGCAGTTTATAGAATCGAATCCTATCGGAAACTTCATTTCCGTTAATGTTAAACGGTTCAGTACAATATATTATTATTTATACCCTGGTCACTATATCAAGATTGTAGGGCATAAATCAGTTATACATTGGGTTCTTTGTTTATAAGCGGAATGAAATTCCGCTCTGTTTTTATAGATAATTTTGAGATTATAGATTACAAAATGATGTACTGTATTTATTTTAAAATTTATGTTGGAATAAGAAATTGTGAAAGGATCGATTATACCCAAGACACCCAGTATATAACTATTACGTATAATTTAAGCAGATTACAACTAGGGATGAGAATCGAATCTTTGATCATCTATATTACAAATATATTTACAAAAAAAAATTGACCTTATGTCGACTCACCCAGCTCACGAAGGTGCGGGTTGTTGACTCGCCCATCAGCCTAGCTATTGGGCCAAGGTCAGCCTGCATCACTAAACTCAGATATCGCATTGCGAATGGGACTATAGGGATATTAACTGATATCGATTTAACATCCATTGCAGATAAGATATCAAAAATATAAATACCCTTTTATTTATTGTATCAATAACTTATACATGATTAGATATAATCTTTACGTACTATATTATTATGCACTTTTAACAATTTAATCACAGCGGCTTATGATCATGTTCTAGTTTATGTACAAAATTGATATAGTAAGATATACGAAGCAGTTAATTGAGGTATATTTAGATAGGATATCAAATTGTAATATTATTCTAATCTTAAGAAATTCACTTTAATTCTATATGATAATGTTATCATTTTAGAAAGCGTAATGATAATGAATTGCTATATTGTTAATAAGAGGTTTTTATTGTGCGATTCATATTTATTGGTTAAAGCAAAGAAAATTGTACAAATAGTTTTACTAAGTAGAAATAAGAATATGAACAAAGGAAAATATATATAAAGAATAGTTTGACCAATTTAAAGTAATTGAAAGTTCTAAAATTGGTTGTTTATAAACATCTATTTTAAAATCGATATGATGTGATTCCAAAAAAAATGATAATTCTATAAACCTTTATTATAAAAATACTTGTCTTATGGCTTCTCCATTTTTATCTTTTAAATTCCAAAATGTATCTTCTAATTTTAATGGATCTATAACAGCTTTTTGCGGAAAAGCTGCGATTGCTAATGGTAAGGCGATTGTTAATGATAACGTTATAAGACCTTTAGTAATACAATATTGAAAGATATCAGTATTAATTGAAGTTAGAGAAAATAAACTCGCAGAAATTTTTAATAATAAAAGGTCACATACCAAAGTTAATTGGAACAGCAAGCTTAAGATTATTTTTTAATAATCTTGTCTTTTCAAGTTGCGAGAGTATGAGTGGTGGAATTGTTGGCACAAGAAAATTTGTAAGTATGCGAGAGATTGCAACCTAAATTGTTATTAAAGATAATTATGACTTAAAGAATGAAATGAAATTATGATGAAAAAAAAAAGTTTTCAATTCCAAAGATGTCCAACAGTAAGTTAATAATTTGATTAGCCTATTGCCAGAATATAATGCTTTTCATCTAAAAAATTTCATCGATGAGATTTATATAACTTATTATATTTAAGAAATGATTAATAAAGAAACATTTAGACGAAAATTACACTAGGATTTGGCATTAACATACCAGCGACAACAAGATTAGTCGGTACAAAGCGTGACATTCTAAGTTAAATGGTAAAAATATTGGTTTACCAGTGTCTGGGTGAACTGTTGAATCGACAATTATTATTAAAAATTATTTATTTTTTTAAAAAATATTAGTTAAATTAAAAATCAAGCTCTTCTTTGTTATAAAAAAATTTTGAATAACTCGCTTTTTTTTTGCTTTCCATAAACTTTCTGGATTTACATCTTTTAATTTTTCCAGAATTATAATCATCAATTAATTTTTTGGAGTTTTCAAGGCCGGATTTTGAAACGAATAATGTCCTAATTTCATTTGTTTGTACAGATGAAATAAACTTAAGTGGATTTATCAAATTGGATTTCAAAAAATATACTAATAATAGTGTATTAATAAAATGCTTTACTCAGAATGATTAAATTGAAATAACAAAACATACATAAATCAATTTTCGGGATGGACTCCACGTTATCTATTGTAACTGTCGTTATAATTATAAAAATTGAAGAAAAAAATCTTTTTGCAAAAGGATACCAAAAATTCACATTGTAAAATAAGGATCGTTCGTTTCCCAATACCATATCGATATACAGAATCGTTTTTTTTTCTTTGAAAATTTGATGATTGTATTAAGAATTATTATATACTTAAGAAATAATGAATATTCCAAAAAGACGCATTTTTTTCGCACAGATTACTTACTGCCTTACATTTCTATCTCTACTAAATAGTTATGTTATACTGTAGTTCTGATATGTCCTATTCAAATAAACTCTTACTGATTCAAATCATTAAAGTATTCACTTTCATAATTAAAATGGTTCTGCATATTTCAATATACAGAATATATGGATGGCTGATTTAAAAAATAATCTACAAATAAGAATACATATCAGATTTAGTTTTTTTGATTTAAAATTTTATTAATCTTTTCATTGAATACTGTATGTATTTTTAATAGGTGACATTCCGTATGTTCTTAAATGGATTTGGAATCTCAAAATAACTTAAGTGGGAATAAAATACGTAGTAACGGTAAGTTCAAGAATTGAAAACTATTTTAAAATATTATAAAAAAAAAAACTATTACGTATAAATTGTGTAATGTTGAATAATGTATTATATAGGAGCACTGTTTAAAATTTTATGTTACCGTTACTACGTATGTAATTTTTGTTATTCTTGGAAGGGTATTTAAATTATTTATACAGAGTAAACTAAACATGACACGTAAAATTTTTATTAAATAAGTAAACTAAATAGATGTTTTGATCGAATTAAATTGATTTTCATTTTATATAAGGATGCCTTTATAAATATTATTACATGTTTATTTGATCTAGAATAAATAAGATTCGCGTCTTTAGATTAGTTTAACTACTTTTTTGGATTCGCGTATTTTAGTGTTGTTTTTTTGTTTTTAATACTATTTTGGATTGTTTACTTGTCACGTAAAATAATTTTTTTACGTGCTTATTTTACAAAATTTTTTATATATAAGGACATGAAAAATCTCTTTGTAAACTTCATGATTTGAATAACATACTTTTATATTAAAAAAAAAAAAAAAAAATATTTTCAATGAAGTATAACTTTGCAACGCTAAAAGAATTTAAACACTTTCAACCTGAAGAACCTATCTACTAATTATGCAATAAAGAAATCTAAAAAAAAATTTGTTAAAAAAAAATTAAGAGATAAGTATAAATTTATATAATTTTAGTATTTATTGAAATTTGGTATAAATATTTTAAAGTACTAATAAAAATTTATATATATATTTTTAATTTTATGATATAAAATAGTAAAAACATATCTGGGTTGAAAGTGTTTAAATTCAAATAATTAGCATTAGTAAAAGTTATATTTATTTATAAATAAAAATATTTAAATTTTTTATAAATATAAAAAATTATATTCAATCATCACTTATATGACATGTCATAAATACAAGTTAGTTTTTTTATAATAAATATTTGGCAAAAGATTTTCTTCGATACTCTCATTGTGAACCTCTCAATATAAAACTTTCAAAATAAAGAAGAAAATCTCAAAAAAGCCAAATTATTTAATTATAAAAAAATCAACTTGTATTGAGAGTCTTATTATGATAAGTAAATTTACTATGATAAAAAATAAGAGAGGTTCACAATAATGAGAGTATTATGAGAGGTTCACTACAATGAGAGTATATTAATAAAAAAAAAGACTTGTATTAAATTTTTTGTGCGTATTAGTATGTACACAACAATATGCATATATTTTTTTATTTTGCCAAATTGCGCACTATTTGTCGAGAATAGTGTGTATGTTTCCAAAATAATATTTACAGTGTTGGCTGAAAACTGCACCTGCATAATTTCGGATATTTTGTATACGTAACCATCATAAATAAATAAAATTGTGATTGATACGTATACATTTTTTTTTTTTATCAAAAATGTCAAACGAAAATTTGACCCAATTATTTAATAAATTGAATTTCTCAGATTGTCAAAAATCAGCAGATACGAACGATCCAGACGGAATTTTCCGGTTTGGATATTGTTACGAACATGGAATTGGAGTTGAAAAGGATGAAAACAAAGCATTCTTGCATTATCAAAAATCAGCAAACATGAATAATTCTGACGGAATGTATCAAGTTGGTTATTGTTATTATTTAGGAATTGGAGTTGAAGTTGATAAGCATCAAGCGTTTTCATATTATCTGAAGTCTGCTGAGGAAGGGAATTCTAATGGAATTTGGAAAACGGCCATTTGTTACTTATATGGAATTGGCGTGAAAAAAAATGAAGATAAATATCGTGAATGGATTAAGAAGTAAGTTAATTTTAATTTTAATTTTTTGTTTTAGTTTATTTAAAGTAGATCTCACAATTTTAATTATTAGAGAGTAAGCAAAAAAAAAAAAAACATTTATTACTAATTAATTATTTATTAATCTAATTAATAATCAAGAATTATTTATAAATAAATAAATAATTTATTGTTGGTTATTTTAGCCCGTAAGTATAAAAAAAGAATGAATATTTAATAATTTTACTACATAAAAACAGCAAAACTCGATCACAAAACAAGATCATAAATACTTACTTATAAATTATACCATTACGCACAAAATCATTTCATTTGCATTAATTTATTTAGTCCGTGAGTATAAAGAACATTTAATAATTTTACTACATAAAAACAGCAAAACGAGTTCACAAAACAAGATCATAAATACTTATACCATTACGTACAAATCATTTTATTCACATCAATTTAGTCGGTGAGTATAAAGAACATTTAATAATTTTACTACATAAAAACAGCAAAACTCGTTCACAAAACAAGATCATAAAAATACTTATACTATTACGTCGTACAAATCATTTCATTCACATTAATTTATTTAGTTAGTGAGTATAATGAATATTTAATAATTTTACTACATAAAAACAGCAAAACTCGATCACAAAACAAGATCATAAATACTTATACCATTACGTACAAAATCATTTCATTCGCATTAATTTAGTCTGTGAGTATAAAGAACAATTCCAAACATTCAGTGCTATATCAGAAATAGAAATGGAAAGATTCTGGAACACAATTTTACTTGTTGATAATAGTGTTACTTCTGAAGATCGTACTGCAGCAAATATAAAAAAAAGAGTAAGCAATAATTGTAAAATTATATAAATAATAATAATATAAAAACAAAAATAATAACATACTTTTATTTAAAGCTACGTCTACAAGAATTCTTTGACTATTGTTGTACTGCAAGGCATTATTACTTTTTAATCAAAAAATGCAGTGAATTATCTTGTAATATTTGTCGTCCTCCTTGTTGTTTGCTAGAAGATTTTGAACAACTTCATTGTCTTCCAGATCCAATACCTGAAGATGATTTATATTACAAATCATTTGAAGAATTGTATAGTATGCGAACGACAGAGAATCATAGACCTTCTCTTATAAATTCTAAGACAAAAATGAATTATGATAAAACAAAGACAAAACATACTATGCCATTTTGTCCTTCTGCAGCACATGCAAAAAATGTTCGTGTTATTGTAAACTGTACTGAATACGAAAAACCACATTTCTTATTCAGTTCAAAAAAACTTTCTGAAAAGGATATCATATTGTTGCAAAGATTCCTAGATACAGTCTTCTATACTTGCGGTATGTCATTTTATGGAACATGCGACTTGACGATGATCATACCACTGGAGCAGTCAGATGTACATGACAATTCAGAAGATGTTGGTTCTGATAATGAAGCTGATGATCAAGAAAATCCAACTCAAGAAAATAAAAATAATGAATCTGAACCTGAGAGTTCAGACGATGATGATTCCAATGAGGTTATAGAAGAGCTCAATGATAATACAGAAGAGGCATCTATTAATAAGCTTTTTTTAAGAGTCTTTGTTAATGATTCATTGTCTTGTGCATCAAAAATCAAAAAACCATACTACTCTGCTGGGATCTACCCAAATGTTTGCGTTGAATGTGGAAGCCAAGAGGTTTCTAAACTAGCAAAAAATGAATACCCATATTGTAGTGATTGTGGCAGTAATTCTGGTAGCTCTAATTTAAAAAAGTATTCAAAACAGAATAAAAGTAGTAAAAATAAGTGAAAGCGTGTAAGAAACATAGATTAAATTCCAAATACATGGCATTTTTTATTAAATATGTAACTTATATTTAAAAAATACGCATAAAATAAATATGTAGCGACAATTCTTGTTATTTAAAATGGTATACGTAATATAGTAACAAATGTTAATATTAAGGTTAAGGTTATATTAGTCTTGATTGGCTGGTTTTATATTTGGTAGGTGCAAAAATCACGCAAATAGTAGGTGTCCACACCAGGGACGATGATTTTCTGCAACAAGAAATAGCCAATTCCGTCCGTGATAAGTCTGAATTCTGCAAAGTTCCATTGTGTATTGGGCGAAAATCTTCAATTTCGTAATTGAGCCCAATCATTTATTTAATATAGCATGATTATTTAATCGCTTATGAATTTTACTTATTTTGTACGTACCCGATTACTTATAAATTTTTGTACGTATGTACCCAATTGTGACCTAATTATAAATTTTATGCATACGTACCTGATTGTAACCTAATTGTAACCCGATATAACTTGATCACGTTGCTTTGAAGTTATATGGGATTGTGTACTTATAAAACTCTACTTTCTGCGATGTTTCTGTGCCATATTCCTACTTTCTGCAACATTTCCGGGATACTTTTGACACGCAGCATTCTGTAAAACACAAAATATTAGAGCGCACCATATCATAATTAATAAACATTTTATATATATCAATAATCGTAGAGATAAGAACAAAATTACAGAAGTTTTTTATATTATTAAAAAATTTGCGCAAAAAAAATTAAATATATTATTTTACGCGAAATTTATATATTTTTGCTATGAATTGACACTGCGACTGAACTACAAGTTTCAGAGAATTTATTTATCAATTAACCTTATATAGGTTTGATTAATTATGATATAGCGCACCCTAACAAAATAACCATTGTAATTGTGTTAGTAAATAAACGATTCTTATTGGTCGGTATATTAAAAAAAATAAAAATTTGCGATCTCCACTTTACTGACACGGCCGGGATATGAGAACCTATTATATAAGTTTGTGTGGCCTAATATTATAAATTGTAAAAATTTGCAAAACATATATATAAAAATAAAAAAAAGTTAATACAGAAATTGTATACTATATTTAAAAATATAATTTTAATTATTACTGTTTACAAATTATAAAATAGATAAAATAGATTATTATTTTTTGTATATGTTATACATACCAACTAAAACTTTCAAACATCAATCAGTAATGTCAAGCTTAATTTGAGCAGAATCATCTTGTAACAAATCTAAATAAGAAAATAAATATTTTTTAAAAAATAATAATAA